AATAAATAAATAAATAAATAAATAAAATAACAAAGAATTCTTCATTGTTTTTTCAGATCGCTTATGCAACTTCTTCAGAGACTCTGAGTGATAAAAGTCAATTCCCCTTCTTCTACCGGATGGCCCCCAAAGAAGGGGTCCACTACCCAGCAATTGTCCAAGTGCTCCTCCATTACAGATGGACCTTGATTGGTCTTTTTGCTTCAGACACAGAGGAGGGAGAGAATTCCATGAGGGCTTTGACTCCTATACTTGTCAGAAATGGAATTTGTGTTGTTATATCACAACTCTTCACACCTACTACATCTATAGAACCCCTAAGGGATCCAATTTCTAAGTGGAGACAAGTCAATGTCTTTGTTTACTTTATCAGAATTGGTACCATCTTGGATGCAATTCAACCTATCCATTTATCACTTGACAGCTTGCCAGGAATCATTGAAGGGAAAATCTGGGTCATCTCAACTTTTTGGGAATGGAAACTAGAAATGAATAAACTTTACAAATACATCCATAGTATCTGGACCTTTGTTTATCAAAGGAAAAAATGGCAAAATGAAAATGCCTTGGAATCCTTTTTCTTTGGGGTACCGCAATTTCAAGATCGTTGTTTTCACTGTTCTTCAAAGGATGCCTTTTCTGTCAAAAGCCGGAGAAGATGCACACAGAAAGCATCAGTGGAGACCGAAGAGTTAATAGACTGCATCTTGGTTCAAAATGACCACAATATTTACAGTATTGTTAGGACTCTGGCCCACACCATAAATGCTGCATATTCTTCCAGATCCAGGAGGAGAAGGAAGGAGGGCAAAGAGAGTTTGGGGACTCCAAGGCTGTGGCCATGGCAGGTACAGGTTCCCAACAAGGATCCATCAAACTTAGTTCCTTCTAGGAAGAAATCCAAAAGAGAAAGAGGAGAATCATTTCAACCTACATATTTATGCTAAAAAAAAAAAAAAGGCTTTACCAATCTAAGCACATAGGGGATAATGTTCCAAACAGCAAGCAACATGAGAATTATATTTTGGATATAGTATCCAGCCCTCAGTTAAATTAGGTTCCTAATCATCAAATCAGGAAGTTGTTGAAATGATGTCATATTACCAGCATTTCCACAATCTATTAAGAAAATGTAGTGCTATATAAGAATAAGAATAAGAATAAGAATAAGAATAAGAATAAGAATAAGAATAAGAATAAGAATAAGAATAAGAATAAGAATAAGAATAAGAATAAGAATAAGAATAAGAATAAGAATAAGAATTGGAAGGGATCTTGGAGGGCATCTAGTCCAACCCCCTGCTCAGGCAGGAAATCCTATACCATTTCAGACAAATGGCTGTCTAGTCTCTTCTTGAGAATGACTTTTGAGACAGGGAGTAGAGATGCCTAACAAATGATCAAATAAGATGGGTGAAGCCTGCACACATATCACAGGCAGAGAAAGAAACTCAGAAAGGATCCTCCCAATCTTTTCAACTTTTTTCAGGTTGTAAAAATAGTTGGTGGGAGGTTTGCACTTTCAGACTTGCAAGATTCTGTTAATATAGCCTTAAAATAACGTAGAATTAGCTCTTCAGATTTTGTTTCTCTTCTGGTCTACCTGGGAGATTAACCAGGCAGCTTCATTCTTGACAAATCCATAGTTTTTGATAATTCACCCATAGTTTTCCAGGAGTTTTTGAATAATCTTCTCATTTGTTTGTTGAATTTATTTGTTGCCTGCTCTGGAATTTTGTCAATGATATTTTGTCAGTGTATATTTTGTCAGCATATGATTGACAAATTTTGCCGAATCTTTGTTTTCACCTTTGAAAAGAGTGCTAAGACTTGTTTTCTGAATTAAGAATGTTTGCAAGTAGAACAACTGCAGAAGGCAGATTCACATGTGGAAAGACCGTGTGGGATAAGGATCCAAAGTTTTTGCTCTTAAAATTCCTTGACATTTTCATTCTAGTTCCACCCCTTTCTGGAGAAGAATGAATTGTGCAATCTTTCCCACCTGAAACTATACTTGGACCAAAATGGAGATGTAGCAGCAGATCTCAATATCATGAGCTCCCTGATTCTCCCTGAGGAGGATCCCATTGAAGAACAAATAGGGAGCTTGGAAGGACAGAGACTTATTATCCGGCAAGATGTTCTACCACGGCTAGAGCTGCTGAACAAGGTGGGAGAACCATTAGTGTATTAGCCAAAAGGCTAAGCCTAGTCATCAAGGTGGATGACCTTCACTGAGAATTGCATATGGAGAGTAGAAACCTGTTATAGATATACAGTCTTAGACTGTTTGTGAGGCTTCAGTACTTCTGACCAAGGTATTGTTCAGATGCTATAATATGGATTTAGCTGATTTATCCATGTCCAACCTGGGATTCTGGGTGATTATACTTGAGGACACAGATCATGGCCCTTTTTGGTTCCCCTTTGCAATCTTGTACTACTATAAAACTGGTGAGAGAGACCATAAAGTGCTGGGGTTTGTGGTGCCAATAGCCTCAGGTTCTAGCAAATTAGACAGCAATTCTTCCAACTAGTGCCTGAGTTCAGGTTTGGTGTGAATCAGATGAAACTGAATCTTGACTGCATAGAGGTAGGGCTTTTTTTCTCATAGAACGCCCAGAATGGAGTTCCGGCACCTTTTTTGGATGGAACCTTGTAGGGTAGGCAAGGCGGGTTGTATGACGTGTGTGAATTCCGGCACCTTTTCTTTTTACAAAAAAAGCACTGGATAGAGGTATTACTGGTCCCACTGAGAAATAAGCTTTGGAATAAGAGTTGAGCTCATCCTGGTTAGGGAATGTGTCCCCTGAAAGAGAAGATCCATAGTCAGTGATGTTTTTAAGCAGTCCAGATTTTGACAGAGTTATCCATGCTTCTCTTTCACCAAAAAGCTTCTATTCCTAGGAAGAAAGCCCAAGTTCACATGAAATGAGAATTACTGGTTTGATGTGAGATGATTCCCTGACTCAGAGAAATGATGAACATAACTCTGATGCAAAGAAAAACCGTTTTGGGTAATTGAAATAATGAGGGACAGTTTGAAAGGAAATGATGCTTAGATTTGGCCCTTGGTTTCTGATCTCAGTACCATTCTGGAAACTAGGCAATAAGTTGTATTATTATTTCACTAGCAGCAGTTATATGAATTCAAGAAATAAATATATGAATAAATAAAGAACATGTCTTTTAAAACTGACATCCCTAATTTGTAAGGAATTCTTCTTTTGTATCTTAACTGAGAAATTATTTGGGGCTAGTTCCAAAGGCTTTTAATTGTTCATGTAGTTTAAAAAAAAACCTTTAAGCTGCTAGATGTTTCTTTCTTCATTAGAGTTTGATTTTATTTTAATAAAACTGATAGATTAAAAAATTAAATCTTTCAGAATAATTTTATTCTAAAATTTAATATGAATAGATCATCATACTTTAAAATAATAGATAAATTTACTATGCAGAAATGCATAGTAATATGACCATGAGGAGAAACCCAAAGGTTGTCACTTGATGCTTAAATCTTTTTTCCTTTCCATAACTCCAGACTTTATTAAATGGAAATTCCTTTATTGCCATCAGACATGTCAGAAGTAAAAAGAGGAACTAAATGGAGAAACTACCAGTAATAGTATTTCTTACAGCTGCTTGGAACTAGTTAGAGATTTTATATTTGCCTAAGTGAAGCTCAGAGACTACTTGAGTACTTGACTACAGTAGTGGCCAAAATTGTGGAAACCTTTTGGGAAAAGGTTACAGTAGAAATGCCACCTTTGGTTAAGTTTCCACCAATTTTTCTTCTAATTTCTTTATAACTGTAGCCTTGTTCACTTAATAATACTATTTTACATCGCTTTCTGGGCAACCAGTCAGCTCTTTGCACCATTACTTTAATTTTATTACATTTTACAAGTTCACTAAATGAAAGGAAAAAAAACCCCAATCAACTTGATAGCGATCACATAACACACTGACAAATGTCCTCCTCTCAGCTTCAATACATGACCTCAATAACTGAATCCTACTGTGATCTGACTGGCTCATTGCCAAAACAAGATGACACCCGATTGGCTCTCTAAACACTCATGCTCATTGGCTACAATCAGATGAAGGGAAGCTACCTGATATCAACCTAAGCAAGTTGTTCTTCCTATTTCTGGATATTTGGCTATAACTTTTCATAGAATACAGTACAGATAATTGAACAAACTATGTTGCATTACATTCTTGATTAAATTATCTTTCCATTGATATATAATTTTGTGGCACTACTTCAAAAAAAGTGGTGTTATTAGCCATCAAACCTCAAAAATACACTTTTCCCAAAAGGTTTCCACAATTTTGGCCACTACTGTATATGCTATTTTCATATATGGTGAGTCTTACCATATTTTGTTTGGTATTACTAGTCTCTGCCTCAGTCCAAATGTGTGGAAAACTGTCATCCTGGATTTTTCAAGCGGGCTCGGGAAGGAGAGCCAATTTGCTGCTATGACTGCATTCCTTGTCCTGAGGGGACCATCTCCACTCAGGAAGGTGGGTGATACCATAGGGAAAGTTACTTGATTAATCTAGGGCAGTTTGATCAATATGCATGTTAAAAGAGACACATCTAAGCATGACTATTTTGTTCTTAATTTTCAAGGTACCCAATTTATTCCATAATGGGAGGAATAAGAAAAAGATCTTGAAGGACAAGGTAGGATGAGATAAGAGAACATGGTAGAGTGGGCAAAGTTACTTCTGCCAGAGGAAATCTCACTTATACTTGCCAGTTTGGAAGTGTCCTTCCAGGTTCACCCTTCTTAGGACCGTCTGATATTTTTTGTAATTTGAGGAATGATTTTAGATCAATGACTTTTGCTTACTCCAATCAACTTTATATTACATGCCAAAAGATACATCCAACAATTGTTCAATTAATCAATTAATCTTTATTAAGGTCCTAGAGTTACATAAGCAGGAAGATCTAACTGGGAGGACTATGGAGGGAAAGCAGTTGGGTTCAAGGGACAAGAGAAAGCCAAATGGAGGATTCACCATAAAATCCATGGAAAGGAGGGGATATAAACTAAATTTCCCAATATTAGGGATAAAAATCTGCCTTCTTCTTCTCCAATGCTCTAACTGTCTATGGTACAGATTAAGAGATAAAACACAAATGTTGTTTATAGTTCAGTTTAACAATCCTGGGTTCAGCATAACCATCATCATGGATTCCTCGGTAGGATTCTTACTGGGCCTTCCAACTTCTTATCTTTCCAATTTTCTTGGTTATTAAATAGTAAAATATAAATAATTACTACATGTACAAAAAGGGAATATACTTTTGGTTCTAAAAGAAGAAGAAAAAAGCCTTTCACACACACAGTTAGGATTAAAAGGAATGAGACCTAACAGAAAGGAGGGGAAATAGAGAACTAATAAAACCAAAGACCACCTAAAATTTACAAATGGGCCAGAATGCAATTGCAAGCACAGTGTTGAGTACCCCTATGTTTGATCATATTACATCTCTGTTCTATAAGCTACACAGATTCCCAGTTGATTTCAAATTGCAATTAAATTCAACTTTAAAGCCCTACCTTGAATAGGATCATGACATCTGATGACATCTGCTTATCATCTGATGACATCTCCTTGACATCTGATGACATCTGCTTATCATCTGATGACATCTCCATGACATCTGATGACATCTCCTCTGATGACATCTGCTTATCTATCTATAATAGTTATAATAGGAGCACTGCAGGTCTATTTCCTAAAACATTGCCATTTTGTGGGTCCTTTGAAGCATTCCTTTTTGGTTGCAGCTCCTGTCATATTGAACAACATCTCCCTTGAATTCAAACAGGTCCCACACTTCTGAAGACCTAGATTTTTTCTCAGGAATTGGGATGAGGTAATGTTAGTGCAGGATGAAAATGAAGTTGCCTCAGTGAAGTGTGGTTGTGGTACCAGGTGTTATTTTTTTGAACCTGTTGTTTTTAGGTTGGACTAGATGACCTCCAAGGTCCCTTCCAACTTTATCATTATCATCATTAACATTAGTAGTAGTAATAGTAGTAGTAGTAGTAGTAGTAGTAGTAGTAGTAGTAGTATATATATTGGCTCCTATTTATCATTTATTATGGCTTTCAATATCAGCTCCCATCCAAAGAAGGTCTTTCTGGATATGTGAAAGGATAGACTATAAAAGAAACATTTCTTTCTATTTTCTCAGATACTGAAAAATGCACCAAGTGTCCAGATGAACAATATCCAACCAAAAACCGAGTCCAATGTATCCCCAAAAGAAGGAACTTTCTGTCCTATGAAGAACAACTAGGCATCATCCTAATCTCTGTTGCCCTACTCTTGTTCCTAATCACAGTCCTTATTTTAATCATATTCATTAAATACCTAGAAACTCCCATCGTCAAAGCCAATAATCGGGACCTCTCCTATATACTCCTGGTCTGCCTCCTGCTTTGCTTCTTGGCCTCCTTTTTCTTCATTGGACAACCAAGAAAAGCTACATGTCTTTTCCGACAAATGGTATTTGGCATTGTCTTCTCAGTAGCTGTGTCTTCTGTATTAGCCAAAACAATTACAGTGGTACTGGCGTTCCTGGCCATAAAACCAGGGAACAAGGTGAGAAGATGGTTGGGGAAGAGCTTGGCCAACTCCATCATCCTTTCTGGTTCTGCTGGCCAAACTTTCATATGTGCCCTGTGGTTGGGTGTTTCTCCACCATTCCCTGACTCTGATCTGCACTCTCAGCCTGGAGAGATCATCCTTCAATGCAATGAAGGCTCTGTTGCCATGTTTTATGCTGTCCTTGGCTATATGTGCTTCCTAGCTGCCATTTGCTTCATTGTGGCTTTCCTGGCTAGGAACCTGCCTGGGGCATTCAATGAAGCCAAGTTCATCACCTTCAGCATGCTGGTCTTCTGCAGTGTATGGATCTCCTTCCTGCCCACCTACTTGAGTACCAAAGGAAAGTCCATGGTGGCCGTGCAGGTCTTCTCCATTTTGACCTCTGGTGCTGGATTACTTGTCTGTATCTTCTTTCCCAAGTGCTATATTATCATCCTCAGGCCAGATCTAAATACTAAGGACCATCTAATTATAAAAGTAGGGAAATGACTGTGAAATTGGTTTTTAGGCTGGTAATATTTAATTATCCATTGCAGTTTTTAATGGCTTTGCATACTTCCTTTGTTTCTGTTTCACAATTAAGGTTATTTAAAAGTGAAGGAAATAAAAATATGAAGATTGCAATATAATGAAATTAAAACCCAAGATAATCCTCAATCCATAAAATAAATGAATTAAAATTAAAATTGTCATGCAGACAGGGAATGACAGGAGAAGAAATGAGATAGTTATATTAACATGACAGCTGAAGAGGAGAAATGAGATTCCCAAAAGAGAGGAAGAAGGAGTCTTTTGAGGGGTACTTGTTGCTCTCTGAGCTTGGTTGTATTCTTGCAGATGTTTCATTACCCAAATTAGGTGTTAATTTATCCTCATCTTGGTTTTGACAGCTGATGGGGGGAAGTTTTGGTAAAAATAGGGACCTCACCTATATTCTCCTTGTTTCCCTTCTGTTTCCCTTTTTGACATCCTTTCTGTTCATCAGTCAACCAAAAAAGAACACCTGCCCTCTCCGTCAAACAATTTTCAATATCATTTTCTCACTTGTTGTCTCTTGCCCAAAGCTATCACAGTGGTGCTGGCCTTCCCAGCCTCAAAGTCAGGACATACCATGAGGAGATGACCAGCAAAAGATTTGACCAACTTCATTATTATATCTGGTTCTAATGTCCAGATTGCCATTTCTACCATCTGGGTGGGAGATTCTGACATGCATTCCCAGCTTGGACAGATTGTCTTGCAACAACAAAGGGTCTGTTGCCATGTTTTACTGAAACCTTTATTGTTGACATTTTCAGGGGATATGTACAAATGTTGTTTGGACAGAAAATATTTTATTAGTCTATTTTACTTTTTGAACTCATATTATATTTTATTGAGGAGTCATACTTGAGCTTTCACTGATTTAATAAGTAAGTCTGAAAAGAGCAAAAGAGAAAGAGGGGCATAGAGAGTGAAACATGAAAGCCATTGTCAAACCTACAAAACTACTTTGGCTACAGCCATCTTTCTTCATTTTTCAGCTTGCCACAGCTAAGGGGGGAGGGAAGATGCATTCTTCTAATTCAGTCATAACAATAACTTTCTTGTGGGAACCAAGGTCAAACTGCTCAAGTGTTTAGTGGGCTAGAACTACTGTTAGAGAGCCTGCCAAAGGTGTTAATTGGAGAATGTGATTTATTACATATTTAGTGTGTAGGAAGTTTAACTTTTACTTTGTAACCTTTTGGGGAGGGACTTCCAGTCTTGGTTTCACCTATGTTTGTGATATTATGTAGCCATTAAAATTGTTCTTTGAGGAAAGCAATTGTCTCAGAGTTCTTTTTTCTACTGGTCTCATCTATCGGAAACCTGACATTAAACCAAGACTCCAAATTTCATTTATCCATGGGGTCCTGAGCCCTGGTCACCTACCCAAACCCTGGGAGGATGGCAAAGACTCAGGGAAGATGCAGAGATGGAGAATAAAGAGGAAATCAATCCCAAGCTTTGGGGCAGCACTGGTCTCCCCTCTGTGAAGAAGTTGTCACAAATGTTTCTCAAACATATCTACCGACTCCATGGAGCTCCAAAGCGGATTATATCAGATAGGGGGGTGCAGTTCACTACTAGGTCCTGGAGGGACTTTCTGAAACTTATTGGGTCCATGCAGGGACTTTCATCAGCTTTTTACCCATCTACTAATGGAGCTGCTGAAAAAGCTAACTGTATGGTGGAACAATATATTAGATGTTATGTGGATTACCAACAGACCATCTGGGCTGATTTCCTCCCATTTGCTGAGGTGGCTTACAATAACACAGTGCATAGCAGCACTGGGCTCACTCCGTTTAAAATAGCCACTGGTAGGGAATTCATTCCCATGCCTGAACTCCCTCAGGACCCTCCTGTTTCACAGACTTTAGATCAATTGAGACTTCTTGGAGAACTGTTTGGGATAATGCAAAAGCAGCTCTAATCAAAGCTTCAAAAGTTTACAAAGAACAGGCAGACAAGAAGAGGGCTCTCAAAGGTCATTTCATGTTGGTGAAAAGGTCTACCTCTCTACAAAATATCTAAGACTTAAACTACCTAGTAAAAAATTGGGACCAAAGTTTCTTGGACCTTTTCCCATAGTACAGATTATAAACCCAGTCACCATAGAATTAAAGCTTCTTCCCCTCTTAGAGAAGATTCATCCTGTTTTTCACTGCAGCCTACTAATGAGGGAGTCCTCATTAAGACCTCCTCCCAAACAAGCACCTGGTCCTCTTTGTTGTAGAGGGAGAAACTCATTATGAAATAAAACAAATCCTTGACTCCAGGTTGTACAAGGAAAAGTTGCAGTATTTAGTGCAATGGAAGGTTTATCCACTATCAGAAGCCACTTGGGTGAAAAGTAGTGATGTGAAAGCTGAATGATTAATACATAAATTTTATGATAGGCATCCAAATAAACCTAAGGGTTAATTACTGACTCTAAATTCTTTTTATTTGCAGGATTTCTCCCTTCTTTAGGGGATCCGACTGTCAAACCTACCAAACTACTTTGTCTACAGCCATCTTTCTTCATTTTTCGGCTTGCCACAGCTAAGGGGGAGTGAAGATGCATTCTTCTAGTTCAGTCATATCAATAACTTTCTTGTGGGAACCAAGGTCAAATTGCTCAAGTGTTTGGTGGGCGAGAACTACTGTTAGAGAGACTGCCAAAGGTGTTAATTGGAGATTGTGATTTATGACACATATAGTGTGTGGGAAATTTAACTTTTACTTTGTAACCTTTTTTTGGGGGGGGGACTTCCAGTCTTAGTTTCACCTATGTTTGTGCTGATATTATGTAGCCATTAAAATTGTTCTTTGAGGAAAGCAATTGCCTCAGAGTTCTTATTTCTACTGGTCTCATCTATCGGAACCTTGACAGCCTTTATTTAAAACATAAGATTAAAAGGTTTGCAGGTTTCCACAAGCTGCCAAATGAGAAAAGTGGTGTCTTTTCTTGGCCTAATTCTTAATACACACATTAGATATGCTTTGGTGTCCTTTTTGCCCTTCTTTCTCTGCTGCCTTAAAGCTGGGCAACTTCAGCAGCATAGGGTGATCTCATAAGTACCTCTTCACCCAAATGATTTTCCTCCATTCTTATGGGGAGACACAGAAGGTGTGGTGACCATTGTCAGAGCACCATGGGTCAAAATCCACAAGGGACATATTTGTGTCAGACACTGGATGTACACATAAGAGGATGGGATTTGCTCTTGGTTAGCTGAATCAGATGTAAAAGATAAATCAGGTCAAATTTAGAACTGATAGGTTTTCCGCTGACCTCTTTGATGACCCTGGTGTAACTTTCAAAAAACAAGTGTGTCTTTTAGCTACAGACTTTTTACACTTCTGGGTCAGGTGGTGCCTCTCCTGACACAAAGGAAGGAAATTCCACACAGCCCATTTTCTCTCCATTAAATCCTCAACTTAGCTAAATTACAAAGATAAAATACTTTTCCACATTTTAAAATGCATCGTTGAGATATTTTGATAAAGGACAATCTTGAAACTTTCCCCATCAGTGCAGTCCATATCTAGATATTGACCTCAGTGTGAATTACTTTAGGTTGGTTGATATTTCAAGTCCATAGTCCCTGTGTTATTAACTAAAACTGTAAATGATCTTCAAGCTGTAGTTATAAAACTCCAGGAGCATAGTAAAGAAATGGGACTCAGTATAATTATAAAGCAGACTGAATCCAACCCTTTTTTCAACTCCACAGTTTTGTATTATGAATTCTTATTTTTCACAAAACTTTACTGTATTTAAAATAATATATAAACTACAAAACTGCAAGTTAAACAGAGAAAATGGGACAGGGATCAGGGAAAAAAGCAAAATTGGGAGTGTATACAAGCAGGGGAAAAAGCTATAGAAAAGAGTAATATCCAATTTTCCTCAGTAGTGATACAAGATGAAATACAATGACTCTTTGAACAAGAGAAAACCATTATGTGTGGACAATTCAGAAATAATCCTCCATTTGGTTATCAATGACAGACACTCACAGATATAGAACTTTTATTATATACATTAGAAAACTACAACATTACATTACTTTTCAACATAATCACCATTCAAATTGAGGCACTTGTCATAACGTCTTACAAGATTTGAAATTCCTTAGTAGTAGTTGCTCGGTGCCAAATCTGGCTATAGGTGTGGTGATCAACAACATCCCAAAGGAACGTTCTTGGGTGCTTCTAGTGGTGTGTGGGTGAGCATTATCATGAACCAACACCACACTGGAAGTCAGCATGCCCCGACACTTGTTATGGATGGCTTGTCTGCGTTTTCGTAACATTTCACAGTAGACTTTGACACAACAGATGTTGAGACTCTAGAAAGAGTACAGAGAAGAGCAACAAAGATGATTAGGAGACTGAAGGCTAAAACATATAAGGAACGGCTGTTGGAATTGGGTATGTCTAGTTTAATGAAGAGAAGGACAATGAGTGACATGATAGCAGTGTTCCAGTATCTCAGGGGCTGCCACAAAGAAGAGGGAGTCAAACTATTCTCCAAAGCACTTGAAGGCAGGACAAGAAGCAACGGATGGAAACTAACCAAAGAGAGAAGCAACCTAGAACTAAGGAGAAATTTCCTGACAGTTAGAACAATTAACCAGTGGAACAACCTGCCTCCAGAAGTGGTGAATGCTCCAACGGTGGAAATTTTTAAGAAGAGACTGGACAACTATTTGTCCGAAATGGTATAGGGTTTCCTGCCTGAACAAGGGGTTGGACTAGATGACCTCCAAGGTCCCTTCCAACTTCATTATTATTATTATTATGATCATCGCACAGTCAGCCAGATGTTCAGACTGGATTTGGCATTTTGTCTACCTATCGAGTCCTTACCAAGGACCTGGGATAGGCAGATGTGGATGTTTGATGGTATTACAGATATCGTCGCAGGATAGAAGCAGTTCCTAGTAAGGCCGCCTTTTGCAATTGACTAATGATGA